TCCCTGCCCACAGCGGCCTAGGAGCAATTGCTGAGCAACAATGATCCATCGAGGTCTCAACCCGTGCAAACTGTACCTAAACTTCCACTTTATTGCAGCTTAGTTCACAATCTTCACCTAATATAGGGTTACATCCCAGTGCAGCAGGCGGATAAATCATCCTGGAATATTACTCTGGCTAAGTTTAGCTGGGAGTGGAGCATATGTGCTTCCGAGTCACTGAAGCACAGGCCCATAAAATACACTAATTACTGGAAGTTCTGGTCACTGAGTGATTGATAGCGCTCTGCCAGGCAACTTCCCCGGCTGCAGCTCGTGTGAGGGGCCTCCCCCAGCACACAGCAATTATTAATTCATGACCCAACCCTCGGGCACTGCTCCCTCCACTCCCAGTCCCACCAGCACCAGGCTGGACCTGGTCTGTCCCCACCCCGCTGGGTGATGGAGGTGGGAGAGGCATCAGAGGGAACAGCTCTGCTTGGAGAAATCAGCCCAAAACCATCCAAAAAAGGGCAGCTTTGCCCAAGAAGGAGTTTGTGAAGTGCATCGTTCCACACAGAATGTCTGAGACTCCATAAATATTCCTCGATCAGGAATCCTCAGTCCTCAAATATTCCTCAATCCTCGTGCCTGGCTGAGCACAAGGAGGTGTCACCAAGCCACCAACATCACAGCTCTACGGTCCCTAAAACCTGACAGCCACCAGGTCAGTCTCCTTGCAGCAACAGCAACAACAAAAAGTGGTTTTTATATCCTTTTATATCCTTCCTGTCCTTAATCCTAAAGGGAAGGTGTTACTTTTCCCCCGCTGGTACAACTTGAGGCTGTTTCTCCCAGACCACGACAAAAACTAAGCTGTACCACCAAGATTTTGGTTTCAGATTCTTCCTTCACCACCTCCAATCACAGAATCCTTTATGAAGAGCACCAAGTGCAGCTACAGCAGCACCAGAGCCCGTCCCTGAGCACCACAACTGCACCCTGGCTCAGAGGAGGGGTGCCCTGAGCAGAGAGCACCCCCAGAGCTCTGAAACCTGCAGAACCCCCTCAGAGCAGCTCACAATCCTCACCTGGTGTCGGAATCTGTGGTATTGATGATTCTGAGGTTGTAAAAGTTTCTGTCTTTCAGCCCCGCTGCCAAAGAAGAATTCATAATTCATCTGTGCTGGTTTCAAGGTTGTTTATTCTGTTTATCTCTAACATGTTCTGCTGCCCTGCCGCAGCTCTGTCCTGCAGGGCAGCGTGTGGGGCTCTGCCCTCAGTGGGATGTTACAAACATTAAATACCACAAACTACCTGTGCTGGATTTACAATAACGTGCCAATATCTGTCACCTACGTTGGACAGTGTGTCCCCAGCCTGAACCAACAGAAAAATGCCAACACCACAGTGAAACATGGAGGGCATGAAGAAGGAGAAAAAGGACAAGACACACCCAATTTCCTCCATCTTGTCCCCTTTGAACCCCTAATCTAGAATCCTAAAATTTTACTTTTGCACCCGTGCCACACTTAATTATTACTTATATCAAACACTCAGAGCTTGTAATTCATCCTGTAAGATCGAAAACTCTTTTCCATGGACAGAGATCACAGCCAGTGTCTCTGGGGGCTCTGTCCAGGGGGGTTCTGACCCCTGCCAGGGTCCCAGACCTGCCAGGGCAGCCAGAGGGAAGCTCTGGGTTCCTACACCCTGGAACACACAATCCTCACCTGGAACACACCATCCTCACCTGGAACACACCAACCTCACCTGGAACACACAATCCTCACCTGGAACACACCAACCTCACCTGGAACACACAATCCTCACCTGGAACACACAATCCTCACCTGGAACACACAATCCTCACCTGGAACACACCAATCTCACCTTTGCTCCCAAGCTGATGAGATGTAACTGATCCCACATCTCAGACTGCTCAGAAGGAGATTTGAAACCTCCCCTCCTTGACCAGTCTTGATTCCAGTTTTATCAGTCAAACACCCTGGAGACTGAAGAGCTTTTAGAGAAGCATCTCCAAGCAGAGCTGCTTCCTTTGGAGCATCCTCTTCCAGCACTTTCCTTCTCCTCTCTGTGGGCTGAGTGAGCTCTTCTGCAGCTCCCTGTGTGCCCCCACCCGAGTGGGATGAAGGGTCTGAGCTCCAGCACTCTGGCAGTGCTAAGGTGTGCCTCAAGTACCGAGGCAAGGCACATTTGTTGGATAATTCATGATTTTCCTGTGTCTGAAATGCCTGATGGCTTCTTAAGAGATTGCTAAGAACCCTTGAAAGCTCCTGCAAATACGCAGCTACTGAGAACTCTGGTCACCAAACACTTTAAATCCTCAATCTGGGAGTTTTAAGAACTAATATTAAAGAACTAATATATAAGAACTATTATTAAAACTGATGCACAAATTCCTTTTCTCTGGGGGAGACGAACAGGGATGATCTCTGTAAGAAAATCTAATTTTCAAAGGGGACCTGGAACACAGAGGGCAGTGGGAAGCAGAGACCAGGACGTGATACAGAAGGAGGAGCAAAAAGCCAAGCACATGAGCTTCTACTTCCAAAATTTACTTGGTTTTGGGCATCAGCAAATTGCTTTCACTTCCTGAATTTAAATGTAGCACCAATGTACCTGGAGAAAAAATGATAAATATCACAGAATCCCAGGGTGAGGTGGCTTGGGAAGGACCTTAAATTCATTTCCCATGGGCAGGGAACCTTCCACCACCCCAGCCCCACCCAAGCCAGCCTTGCTGCTGCTATTAAACCCCAGCCAGATGGATTTGATCCTCCCTTGGATGTTTGAAAGTTCACTTGTGGATTACAGCTAGGATAAGTCATATTGGAGAGTAACAAGAAATATTGGGCAATTTAATTTCTCCTCCTGTGCAGGACACAGCTCCTGGAGAGAGGGAATGGTACAGGGCTCCCCCAGCCCCAGCCCAGCCTGGATGTGTTTTATGGCTGAGTTATGAACCCTGCAAAAACAGCTTTTAGAAATGAAAATGCTGACACAGTGGGCAGTGTAGTGACAGCAATGGCACGGCTTTAAATTGAACCTGCTTTGTCAAGCCAAGAGCACTTAAATAAAACACGGGAAAAGCTCATGGAAACACACAAACTATTTGTGGTGGAACACTTCTGAACAGTTTTTCTGGGTTATGGATTCAATTCCATTCCCTTCAGAAAAATCCTGAAGGAAGAAAGGCAAACTCAAAAAAATGAACTAACAAAAACTGATTATAACGATAATAATAATAATGATGATAGCAATAATACATAATAATGTTGATTATATAGCTGCATATCTAATGTCATTCTATTTTAATCTAATTTTAATTTTTTTTTTTAATTTCTGAGGGGATGACTGAGCACACTCAGACCCCTTTTGCCTCAAAGGGAACACAAACACTCCTCATTTCTCAAAGCTCAGGCAGGACTCCCATCCCAGACTTTCCCCTTTCTCCTCCCAACTTTTCTGGGGCAGTTTCCTCAACTTCCCAAATACCACTTCCCACTTCTCATCACACACAGCTCTGCAGCAAAGAAATTCCAGAGGCTTTAAGGGCTCAGAAGAGCATTAAAGAAAATGAGAAGATTTCCTGACAATTTTACATCCTCACCTGCCAGCACAGCCCCTGCTGCCTCGATCCCACAAGATATTTCCTTTAAATTAACACCCAGGTGTGGGGCTGGAGCACGACTTCACTGAGTGCAATGACTTTAAATCCTTCAGCAAACACCAGCTCCTCTTTTTAACAGCAACGAGAGCGTCCCCACTCCCAATCCCCACTAGGACAGGGTGTTACTTTAATGACAGTGACCTTGTGTGGCTCTTGGAGCACCTTTTTCACCTTTTTGGAGGCGTTTTTCTAAGGCACTGTCCTTGTTTTCATCATTTAACATCACTCAGAGCACTTCAATCAAGCGGCTGCTGGCGGGAGAGGTCCCGGAGGAGCAGCTGACAAACCAATTAACAAAGCACCCAGACCCCAACTGCTTCCTGCACATCTGGCTCAGCAGAAACCCCTGGGAAGAGAGGGAGAGGAAAGTTGGGAAGGTGTAAAACCAGAGGAGGAAATGCAAATTAAAGGAGTTTTACCAATATGCGTGTGGAATTGATGAGCAGCCGCGTCAGCCACTAACAACCCTAAAATAAACTGCAAATATCTTGTGGTGCATCACTGAGCTGCTGGGGCACAGCCTTTAATTCAGCAAAGGAACTGGGAAATGCTTTATTTATAAAATTCTGTGTTTATATCACTCTTTTTATCACCCACAAAGTCTTCCTGGAGTACAACTCAGCCCTTTTTTGGCTAGAATTATTTACAGAGTGTATGAATTTGGTCTGTATCTCTCCCAAAATCCTGAGTGAGGGCTCTGCAGCACCACAAACCGTTCAAATGTGCAGCGAAACAAATGAAGAGCCCTCCCTCCCTCCCCTGGGCCACACCAAATTGTGTCACCCTGCCACTCGGGGTGACACTGATTTACCTCATCTGCAAGCACCGATTCAGCACTCACCACCTGCATCTTGGTCAAAAGGGTTTTGGCAAGGAATTTCTTGTGTGAAATGTAAAAATGGCTCAGCTCTGGGCAGCAAAATGTGAAATGTGCCAAGATGCAGAGGTCCAGAGCTGAGACTGCTCAACTTCATCTTCTGCTAAAAATCTGGGTTACAGTTCACTTAAAAAGTCCAGCTGCACCTTAAAATGAGGAAAGAGAGAGGGAAAAAAGAGGGGCAAAAAAGAAAAAAGGAAAAAAGGAAGAAGGAAGAAGCCTCCACACTCCAGGCCATACCTCCTACTGGAAGTTTTATTTAAGTTTTATTTAAACATGGAGCTTTATTTCAGACCTCAAATGAACAAACCCATTCTAAATACAGCCCAAATGAGCAACAGGTAAAGGCACATGAATTTACAGGGAACTTAAAGAATAAACCAAGATTAAATGGAAATATTTCGATTTTTATTTTTGATGTAAGAGTTAATTTGAGAGCTCTCTGCATACCTCCATGAAGGAAATCCCCAGGCTCCAAACATCCGAGTGAATCCCGTACTGCTCCCCCGAAATCCTCTCAGGCTGTGGAGAAAAGCAGAGAACAACTCCTGAGCCTTGCAGGCAGGCAGGGATTCTGCTCCAAAGCTGCTCCAGGGCAAGGGATGGGGGAAATCACAGGATCCTGGAATATTCTGAGCTGGGAGGGATCAAATTCCAGCTCCTGGCCCTGCCCAGGCATCCCAAAATCCCACCCTGGGAGCATCCCACACATCCCTGAAGCTCCCCACTCCCTGGGGAGCCTGGGCTGTGCCCCAACACCTTCTGGGGGAAGAAATTTTATCCTAAAATCCAACAAAAGCTGCCCTGGCCCAGCCCCTGCCCTTCCCTGGGCTCTGTCACCAACCCCAGAGCAGAGATCGGAGCTGCCCCGTGGGAGTGGAGACACCAAAAACCACCAAGATGCTTCAAAGCTGCCCTGGCAGGGAACAAATCCAGGAAAATTCAGGAATTCTTCAGGAAAATCTGTGTCCATGCACCTTGCAAGGCTGGCCTTGGATTTGTGTTTGGGTTGTTTAACCCAAGGGCTCACGCACGTGAGCAAAGCACAAGGTCAGGTTGAGAGAATCCAATTTTCCACTTCCCTCCCCAAATCCAGGCACCACAGCAATGAAAAAAATTCCCTGTGTGGAGCCCAGAGGTTGGGGAACAACCACAGTTAAAAAGCCAAATTACTGAAGCCAAAAGCATCACCACACGGTGGCAATTTTATTTTATACACTTCTTAATTTTGGGCTTTTTGACCTGTAGGGAAAAAAAAAAAAGCAGCAGCTCCTGCTCCAAACTATTAATAGCAGGTTTAATGCTTCATGAAATGGAGTGCTGTAAAAAATATCTGCTGGTTTTTACTTGAAAGCTACAATTTAAGCATTTCCAAGGTCAAGTACAGCATGAAAAGCAACAATAAAAGGCTCCCTGAGACTCCTCTCCCCACTGTGCTGTTAATGCACCTGTCTGGCCCAGCCACCTACAAAGGATTTTCACTCTTTAATAATCCAGAGAGCTTTGTTAGAAAACAAACTCCCAAATTAGTGCCACTCCAATGTGTTTTTGGATGTTCACCCTGTGCTGCTGCTCCCAGGTCAGGAGCTTTTATCGCAGCGTGAATGTTAAATAAAAACCACACTGCTGCCCTCTAAAAACAACCTTCCAAAACCCCCAAATACCCCCACAATTCCACCCAATTGACCAAATCTCACTCAAAAAATCTTATTTTTTTTTAATTATTATAAAATATTTTTAACTATTATAAATCTGCTGTTTTTAATTCATTGAGTATAATTAACATAAGTCAGCACACCTTAGAAATGTTTGCAACAGCATAGTGTGATTTTTTTTTTAAGCTGATAAAATTTTTATACTGACATATTTTTACAGTGACATATTTTTGTACTAACAAATATCCTCACAAAGGTGCAGATGTGCAGCCAAAAGTAATTTTATAACATGATATGGGATGTGTTAACCTGGCCCAAGCAAGGTGCTGACATCCATCCCATTTTTTAGACTCTTCCCAAGCCACCAAATGAGATTTGTAATTCACTTTCAGCAGTATTAAATTGTTTATTCTTAAAGTTCGAGCTTTAAACAGCAACTTCCAGTGAGGAAATATGGGTTCACAAAAGATAAGGGCAATAAAAAAATCAGCTTTTTAAACAAAAGATGGATTTCAAAGTACAGAAAAGAAGAGGAAAATAGGAATAACAGATGCATCAAAGGTCTCTAAATACACAGCCCAAGGTATTTTCTCCTAAAAAAATTCTGCAGTGATTGTTTTTTCAAAAACAATCATCAATTTTCAAAACAAAAATTCTAAAATGATTGTTTTTTCATCCAATTTTTTTTTCTATAAAAAATGCTGATGAAATGATTTTACAGAAAATACGTTTTGGTCGGAAATTTTAATTTCTCATTCAAAAAGCTTTGTTTAAAAAAAAACAAAAACATGAAAATTAAAAAGCTTTTTATTTTTTTCAAAGAAAAACTCAATTTTTGTCAAGAGTTTCACATTCACTGCCAGCCTGCCAAGTGGGTGAAGCAAAGCTTATGACCTTCACTATTTTTTGAGGGCTTGCCTAGAAATTTGATGACAACAAACGACTCAATCAAGAAGCAAAGTGATTTTCACAAAGAAAATCAGATCGAGAACATTTTGAGCTTAAACTTCTGCTTCACAATTAAGAGATGGAGGCATCACATCCATCCAGAAAGGCAAAAAAAAGCAATTTATTTAATGCACACCTGGGAAAGAGAACTGTAATCTTGGTTTGGGCACTAAAAGCATAATACAATTTAATTCTCAGCCCTGCTTAAGACCAGTTTGAAGCAACAGCTGAGCTGGAAAAGTTGATTAATTTGAAGCTGTTTCTTTGTCTGGATCTCTGTGTTCCAGCTCTTTTTTTTATCTCTGTTTTTTATTTAAAACCCCCCATTTTTCTGCCATTCTGATGTATTTATTTTATGCTCTTTCTGAGTATTCTGATGACACAGGACAGCCCAAGTCTTTCTAGGATGGTGACTCCAGCCTTTCAGAAGCCACACAATGAGCACACCTCGAGTGGAAAAGCACTTAGCAAATAAATGGGAACCCTGACAAGAAAATCAGAAAAAAAATACCTGAAAGCGATTAAAGGTCATGGATTTCTCCCTCCCCTTCCCCGAGGTGTGAAAAACATGAGCAGCCAACCACTTTGTGCTGTTTATATTTTTATTTTAAACCAGCAAAGCACTTCTTTTCTCAGCAATCTTAGGAGCAGTTTGCTCAAAGGATTTTAATGGCCAAAATAAAGAGTTCAGGAAGTGCTTTAAAAAGTGAGGCAGAGGAGTTTTCCCCTCTGAAATGGGGAATTGAAAAGGATCTGATGGAAAATCCACTCTGGTTTGTGCAGAAAATCCATTCTGATTTGCTCAGGCTGGCACTTGGCAGCTCTGAACCCAAACCCTGACCCAAACAATGCATCCTTAGCAATGTGCTAAAAAAAATTATTAAAAAAAAAAAGGGAAAAAAGGGAATTTAGGGACTTTAATGCACAGGAACAGGACAAAAGTGGTCTTGTGTTAACAAAGACTGACCAAAATTTGTACAGAAAAGTGGAAGTACTGATGACTTCCTGCATTCTGAGCTAAAAAACTTGCACTTTAATACCCTGATGTTATTAATCCCAATGTTTTTAGGGTCAGATTTCCATGGGGTGTTTAGGAATGCCCACCAACCTCTGCACAATGCTTCCCTCAAAACGGGGATGGTTTGGGGCTGGCAATGAGCCACGTGCTGTGAGTGAAAAACTGATTTTTTTGAATGCCCAACTGGCTCTCTTTGTTCCCAGTTGCCACAAGGAGCAAAACCAACAGAAAATATATTTTAAAAAACCACTTTTCCAATATTTCTCCTCCCTCTCAGCAAGAAGAAGTAGAGTTGTCCCACGGAATGAAGAGAGGGGATGGGCAGAGATGGAGATTTGAGGATTGATTTAGGATATCTCCTGCCTTGAAGAGAAGAAGAGTGAGGACAAATAATTCCATTTCAATGTTATTCCTGCATAAATCCACTTACCGCCATATAAGCATTTGTTCCAACATACGTCTTGGCTATGGAATTCACCAGCTATCAGACAAAACAGTCTGTTAGAACAATATAAAGATAATGTGGAAATAAAATGGGCAATTATTCCTCATTTAACCTACAATCATCATCCCAATAAATCAACTAAAAATGATGTAAAAAAAGGGAAGGGATTTATCCGGCAAGGCGTTAAAAATGATTAAATCTCGCCTGGGCTGGGGAATGAGGATTCCAATTTAAGCAAGCACTGCATTACACTTTATGGCAGATAACCTTAAACAATTGTGCTAAGCAGGATGCTGCTTGTTTTAGTACCCCAAAGCAGGCTGATATAAAAAGTGAATTAGGAGGAAGCAGGATTGAGCACACTCATTTTTCAGTCAGATGTGAATAAAGCCCCAATTCATCCCTCAAACACTGGAGGGACAACAGAGCCTGCCAGCCCATAATACAAGGCTGACCTTCTCTTTGGGCCTCGTGTTTGGCTGGGAGGAAAAGGTGCTGAAATTCAAATCAACAGCACAGCGAGCTCATGGGTCACTAGCAGGGAAGTCCTCCAGGGAGGCCCAAAATGGAAATTAATTAAAATTTGTGCTGCACATTGTCAAAGCCCACCACTATTGTTGCTCCCAATATTAATTTTTATTGTGGGCCAGTTGGGCTCCCCAGACACGTCTCTTGCTCTGCCCTCCCTTTTGTCTGGGCAAAAGGCTCCCAGATCAAAGCTGCATTTCAATGAAGTTTGCTATTGGTAAGTAGTAATTACAATATCAGCAGTTTTTACTGTCATTAAACAATGAACAATCATATTCAGATGGAGGAAAAGTCGCCCAGAGATTAAAAATGAAAAGGGCTGTCCCAGCAGGGAGGGGTTTGCTGTGGGGCTGCCAGGTGATTTGGACAGCAGGAGGGGAATGGGGAGAGATGCAAAGGGGGATTTACCTGGGTGCTGACCCCAAAGTCACAGAGCTTCACCTGGCCACGGGTGTTCACCAGCATATTGGAGGGCTTCACATCTGTTTGGGGGGAAAAACTGCATTATCCACATTATCCTGGATCATAAAGGCACCATTTATAGAGAATATCCTCGATTGGAAAGGAGTCACAGCCAAATCCAGCTCCTGGCCCTGCACAGGACAACCCCAAATATCCAGGGAGCATTGGCACGGTGGCTTTTGGTAGGAAATATTACAAATATCTATGCCAAGTGCAGTGTTGGCGAGTCAGCAGCACAGATAAAACTCCATATATTAAAAAAATACAAAATACATCCTCTCCATACAGATAGTAGATGGTATTTACACAGATGACTTCATACAAAACTAAAAATCCACATTATTAAACCTGCAGGTGACACCAATCTGGGTCAGACACCAAGTGCACTGATGGACAGGAAAAGAACTCACAGGGATTTTGACAAACTGGAAAATCAGCCTGAAAAAAGGATGGAATTCCACAGGGATAAGCAGAATTACTACATTTGGACAGGGATTAATCCTGAACTCACAGGGATTTCACCAAATTGCAAAGTCAGCCTGAAAAAAGATGGAATTCCATAAATAAACCATCAATGTCCATTCCAAAACCAGGGTACCAGTGAAAATATTCTGATGCTGACTGCCCCTGATGCCACTGGGAGTTGCTGCACTGCTGTAAAATAAAATCAACTGGGAATAAACTGCTGAACATCCACTGCAAGTGCACTGATGGACATGAACAGAGCTCACAGGGATTTTGACAAACTGGAAAATCAGCCTGAAAAAAAGATGGAATTCCATAAATAAACCATAAATACCCATTCCAAAACCAGAGCATCAGTGAAAATATTCTGATGCTGACTGCCCCTGATGCCACTGGGAGTTGCTGCACTGCTGTAAAATAAAATCAACTGGGAATAAACTCAACATCCAGCCTGGCTTTAGTGCAGGAAATTCAACATCTTTGCAGTTCCAGGGATGCCAGTGGGGGAGCAGAACGTGCACGTTACAGCCTGGCTCAAACATGGGAAGATTAGAGCCTGGCTTTGCCTAATCACTGCCTTCTTCTGTCAAAATGGATTAAAGGCAACAGCTTGAATCAGTGCTCCTCTCAAAGTGAGCACTGGTTGGGGGCAGATGGATGAAACCCAACTAGAAAAGAACCTAATTTTGTTTATCATTAGGTTTGCCTTGCTTTAGCAGCTGTTTGCTGGTACCACAGGAGCTGCCTTAATTTGTCTCTGCAATGTAGAAATGCAGAACCTCAATTAAGAAGCTGATTAAAGCTCGCCTCTATTTGAGCTAAAAATCCAGATTAAAAATGGGAGCACCCAATAGTTCCTATAGAGCCCAGGTGGGTCAGCTCTTTGTAAGTGAGGTTATCAACACTGCTGGTACTGTAATTACTGTAAATTCTGTAATTCCCCCCCAAAAAAACCCCAGTCCTGAGCATGCAGAGGCTCAGTTTGTGTTTGCTGATCTCCATCTTTAGGAATTCCAGCCACGTGCTGCACTTTTGATGGAGTTTTGCTTCCTCTGGAGCTGAGTGACTTTGCTAAATCCACGCTGAGCACACCAGAGGCTCTCTCCTGAATCCTGAGCAGAAGAAGGTGCAGAATAATCCTGTTTCACCTCCTTCCCAAAAAGATAGAGCCACCTCTGAGCTGGGCTTGGCTGGGGGTGGAATGAGCCCAGCCCCAGGAGCACACAGGGAATTTTGGCATTCCAGGATGTCCAGCTGTTCCCAACTTTTAGGGGAAAACTGAGTCCAGCCAGTTGTGCTTTTTTAGCTGTAACAAAAAGGATCCTGAAATCCTGCCACAAACAAAGCTGGAAATCCTAAAAGGAAGAAAGCAGAGGGAAATTGGCCCCTTAAGGATGGGCAGGGGAGGTTGGGGACCCCACAGAGCAAGGGGCAGTCACACAAATCCAAGCTGTCCTTCCAACGGAACCAAACACCACAAAAATGAGGGAATTAATTCCAATATCTCCTGTACATCCCAATGGCTGTGCTCATTTCCTCAGAAAAGGAAAGGAAGTGACAGCCCTGCACTAAATATCTGCTGCTGCAAGCAGGGAGGACAATCAGCTCAGCAGCAAATCAGCCCTTTGGTCTCATCACCCACTCCAGTTAATGGGTTAAATATTTTTTTGGGTTTGGGAGACGAGTGTGCATAAATAATGTTCTGCACCATCTGCTTGTGATTAATATTAGTGTTGAGAAGTGAAAGAATTTAAACAAGAGCCAAAAGGGGTCATTATGCTCCCATTACCAGGGCTTGCTTAATACAAATGATTTCTATGAAGCATCATTATAGAGGATGAACAAGTTCTCCTGGTGATGGAGCTGCCTGAGTAGTTTCACCTCTCTGCAAACAAACAGGACCTCCAAGCTCTCACTCACCAGTAAATAGAACCATCAGAGGTTCAGCTTTTTGAACACCAAACATTTCACTCCTTGGTGGCATTGAAAAGCAAACAGATTCATGATTGTGTGAGGGAGACAAAAAAAAAAAAAAAAAGCAAAAAAAAGCCCTGAGATGCTTTAAAAGCTGTCTCTTGACTTCTCCTGGCTTTTAAAAACAGCAAACAGCAACAGGCTGGGTTCAAGGAAGGCAGCAGCGTGGTTTGGCAGAGGCCAGGATTAATTTTTTTTTAAAAATAAGCCTTAAGTGGTCCATGAGTGGGAAAACCCCTGTTTAGCTTTACATAGAGACATAAATAAACATATGGAAACACAGAATTTGTGTTCAGCTTTATATAGAGACACAAATAAATGCATGGAAAGTCAGAATGTGTGTTCAGCTTTACACAGAGACATAAATAAATGCATGGAAACTCAGAATGTGTGTTCAGCTTCACATATAGACATAAATGCATGAAAACACGGAATTTGTGTTCAGCTTTCCATATAGACACAAATAAATGCATGGAAACACTGAATGTGTGTTCAGCTTCACATAGAGACATAGATAAATGCATGGAAACTCAGAATTTGTGTTCAGCTTTACATACAGACATAAATAAATGCATGGAAACTCAGAATTCTGGGATGGCTTGGGCAGGAGGGGACCTTAAAGCTCATCCTGTCCCCCCCTGCCATGGGCAGGGACAGCTCCCACTATCCCAAGCTGGTAAATCCCCCAACACCCCTGGATTTGTGTCTGTGCTCCACTGGGTGGCCCTAAAGCTGATTATATCCCCCAGAGATAAAACAGGAGTGGGGGAGGCAAAAATGCAGCTCTGGACATCTCTGGTGAAATCCTCAGCAAGCAATCAGTTGGGTTTTTACCTTCAACAAAAGGTTTTGGTCGAATTCTGCCTGCCCAGAGGTGTGCCTTGTTCACCTCAAGCCTTTCAAAAAGCTTGGATTTAATGATCTTAAAGGGTTTTTCCCAACCTTAATCTTTCCATGATTCCATGGCTTATGAAAAGCAAATGGAAATTCTATCTACAGTGTTTTGACATAATAATAACAACAGCAATAACATTATTATTATTAATAATAATAGGAATAATAATGGTGAGAGGGTGGGAATGCTCCTCCAGTGCCTGTCCCTCCCAGGCAGAACAAAGAGGAGTGGAATATCCTTGGATTTCTGATGTGCTGGGGGAAAAGGAGGTGGTCTGAGAGCAAATCTCCAGCTCCTCGAGTCTCCCTCATTTCAAACCTGCAACACTTCCAGAACTTCCATTTCAAACCTAACCAGGAGCTGAGGTGCCCAAACCACGAAATAAATAAATATTTGTGATATATATATAATAACAGCCCCAGCACTCACAGAGCCAAGTCACCAATCCAGCTCAGTACAATTAAACACAAGTGGGTAACATTGATTTCCTGCAATCCCTTTAAGCAGCAGGTGTGAACAAAGCAAAACACAGCAGATAAAATGCACACGGTCTATACTTATTCTTGAACTTAACAGATTCTGGTTTGTCTTTAGACAAACTTTGACTTTGTACATGATTAGACTTGTTTAATTGCTAATTCTGTTTTAAATCTAAGTTAATTTCTCATTACCCTTCCATTTCTACTTCTTTTCCTCTGGGGAAAAGAGCACACTTATCATTGGGACATTCTCACATCTTCCAAGGAAGTGGTGGAGGTGTTAATCTTATGTTTATGTTTGATGTGGGTGCGATGACTCCAGCTCGGGTTTATTAATATGCACGGCTATCACCTCATTAGTTGTGAGCTTTGTTTTGAAGTGAAGCTGTAAGATTTGCTGAGATGTCTGATCTGCAATAAAAGACTCCCTCATTGTTTGTTGCCTTGGCTTTAATTCCCTGCTCCACACTCAGCTCTGCCCCGGGACTGCTGCAGCCTTTCCAAGGAAATTCCCGACTCTCCTGCCCAGCAAGAAAATCAGAATTCCTTGGCCCTGGGGATTTTTAACACCCAGCAAGGGCAGGGGAGTTAAAGATCCACTGAGATGCTCTTTGCTCAGGAGGGACCTGGGTTACTGCTCCCAGGGTGAGGAACTCATGTGGGAATACACAGCTGCCTCCAAACTCCTTGGAAATATTAAAAATGGAATAAGTTTCTCTTTTTTTTTTTTTTTGGGAAGTTTTGTGTAGGGATAACAGGCTTTTCTATTCTTTAAACAGCATTTTCCACGTTGTTTGTTTCAAATTTTGGTGGATCTGAATTAATTTCTCCAAGTAGACACCTTTTAAATAAAATTTAACAGCAAAAAGCAAAAATGAATGAGAAGTTTAAAAAAAAACCCACCCCAAATTAGCTGCAGGAAAAAGACTAAACAGCAAAACCCCTAAAGTGACTTATGTCCAAGCAGGTTTAAAGCCTTTCACTGTCCCTGACCATGGTAGATTTTACAGATCTGAGCCTCCAGCAACACTTGTGGCTGTCACATGAGACTTCTGAAGCACCAAAGAAAATTCATTGCCTATTTTCTGTTTCCATTGCCACTCAAACATCTCATTTCCACGTTGATTCTTTCCACTGTGCACCTGTTTGCAACCCTAGGCTTCCAAATCCCTGTAAAATTCATTTCTCTCCTCAGTCCTTTTCAGGGGAGGAGGGAGGGCAATAAAATAGCAATAAAAATGTTTTACACGAAAGTGTGCAAGGTTAATGAGTGAGATTCATTCTGCATTACCCCACTGGACTCAAAGCAGATGTTTGCTTGGTCTTTGGAGAAAGTGATGTTAAAATTTCCTGGGAAAACAGAAAACATCTGCTACTCACCTCTGTGTAAAATCTTCAGGCTCCATAAATAGGTCAGGCCTTTCACAACCTTTAGGTAAAAGAAAGAAAAAATTAAAAAAAAAAATAAAAAATCACATTTTAGGGATTCCTGACAGGAAAAAATGAAGGCAGGAGCAGGAAAAGGGGAGACCCCACCTCCCTCCCCTGCTAAAAACCTGCAGCAGGCCCTTTATTAATGCACCAATTAAAAATACACAGGTTAATTTCTTGCCAGGAGCTGTGAGCTGAACTCAGCTGAGCTCACACTGGATCCCTTCAGGCATCCCAGCAGATCTTTAACTCCCCTGCCCTTGCTGGGTGTTAAAAATCACCAAGGCCAAGGCATGGAATGATTTCTCTTCTTGAAAAAGGCCAGAAACCAACAAAATCTCTTCATAACCTCTTCCACTCCATCCTCCCTTCTCTTTTTTCCCTTTGCTGCACCCTGGGCCTTTTCCTTTGCTGTGTTTTATTCACTCAGTGCAAACGTGGAACTTTTCTTGTTGAGCTGTGAGAATTCTCTGGTTCTGCTCTGGAGCAAACACAAAATCTGCTGCAACCCCCAGCAGGGACATGGCAGCTCCTAAACACAGCTCCAGAAGGAAATACAACTCCTAAAACCAAATACAATCCTAAAACACAGCTCCAGAAGGAAATACAGCTCCTGAAAGTAAATATAACTCCTAAAACACAGCTCCAGAAGGAAATACAACCCCTAAAACACAGCTCCAGAAGGAAATACAGCTCCTGAAAGGAAATACAATTCCTAAAACACAGCTCCAGAAGGAAATACAGCTCCTGAAAGTAAATACAACTCCTAAAACACAGCTCCAGAAAGGAATACAGCTCCTGAAAGTAAATACAACTCCTAAAACCAAACACAATTCCTAAAACACAATTCCTAAAAGTAAATACAATTCCTAAAATACAGCTCCTAGAAGGAAATAAAACTCCTAAAACCAAATTCCTAAAATACAACTCCTAGAAGAAAATATAACTCCTAAAAGCAAATACAATTCTTAAAATATAACTCCTAAAATCAAATACAATTCCTAAAATACAGCTTCTAGAAGCAAACACAATTCCTAAAACACAACTCCTAGAAGGAAATAACACTCTTAAAACCAAATCCAATTCCTAAAACACTCTTTATTTTCCATTGTATTGTGTATATAGTGTAAAACACTACTCTATTTTCCTAGAAGAAAATAAAACTCCTAAAACCAAATACAATTCCTAAAACACAACTCCTAGAAGGAAATACAGTTCCTAAAATAAACTCCTAAAAGTAAATACAGCTCCTAAACCAGGGCAGGTTTCAAAATTTGCTCCTCCCACCAGCAAAGCTGCTAAAGCCCAACTCCAAACTCAGTTCCTGCAGCACAAAACTCAACCAGCACAAAATTCCAGCCCCAAAATTCCAACCCCAAAATTCCAGCCCCGAAATTCCAGCCCGGGCTGACCTCCCCAGCCCATCCCCGCTGGCTCTTTTAAACCCTCTCCATCTCTGAGGTGAAATTTAATTCCATTTCCAAGAGGTTTTCCTCATGGATCTCCAGAACAATGAAGCATTTCTGACACTGCTAAAGCTGTGTGAGTTCTGCAGCCAAGACAATTCATTTTTTTGTGCTCTGAGTAGCCCCAAAATGAAATTATTTATGTTGCAGTGATCGAGCAGAAGTGCTAAAAATGATACAGAGTGAAAGCAGAGAGCACAGTAATTTTCTGCCTTCCTCTTGGATTAGAAACTCTTTCAAAATTTAAAATTTATTCTGTAAGAAAAATGATGTTGGTGGTACCAGAATCTTTTCACAAAGCAAATAATGATGGTGGATCCCAAATAAACTGTTCCAGGAGATAATTCCTCCCTTAAACTCACTCCAAACCCAACCATCCCCTGGCTTCAGATGCTTTTTACCTTCAACAAAAGCTTTGGTCAAATTCTGCCTGCCCAGAGGTGTGGCTTGTTCACCTCAAGCCTTTCAAAAAGCTTGGATTTAATGATCTTACAGGGTTTTTTCCAACCTTAATCTTTCCATGATTCCATGGCTTATAAAAGGCAAATGGAAATTCTATCTGCAGTGGTTTGACATGATTACATCAGCAATAACATTAAAATAATACTAATAAATAACAAATAACAAGCAAACAAATACCTATAAATAAGAAAATTATTACTAAAATTAATACTAATAATAATAATAATAGTGTTGTAGCAATGCAAAAATAAATCAAGGAGATGCAACATTTCAAACCTCCTCCAATGGCCAAAGGGATTTTCAGAACAGTAAACTCTTTGATTGTTAAAAATAATTATTTAGTATTTAGTATTATATAGTATTTAGACTATTGAAAATCTTTAAAACCATAGGACATTATTTCATTTAAAGCAAGCATCCATAAAAAAAAAAAAAAAAAAAAGGAAACATTTCTGAGGAAACAAATCAACAGCTGTGAGTTATTAAACATCTTTATTATGGAACATGTGCTGGGTAAGCAGTGAGGGAAGCCATGGAATTAAGCAGAATCTCCCTTCAGCCTCTCTGGGTGTACAAAGGAATAAAAAAGGAGTTTTTCCCTTTATCCTGGGCTGTAAATCTGCTCACAGGAGCCCCCCAAATGGACTCAGCTCGTCACTCACTCCCCTTACATTTGCCTATTAGGGAAGGACTCTGAAGCATTAAATATTCTTCTCCAACTGGAGGGGAGAATCTTTTGAGCGAAGCCGGAGCAGGAATTATTGGCATTCAGCAAAGGAGGTTTTACAACAATGCCTTGACAAAGCCTTGACACAAAAAGTGCCTCCACCTGCTGTCAATCTCACTCTGCTGACAGTTCAAGTGCACATCCTTTCAGGGAGAACTTCAATCACCAGCAGCGCTCAGAGCACGGAGCACAATGTCACTGCTCCGGGAGGGGAGGGAAAATAAATGGGTGAGATGTGGCCAAAGGCAGAGAGGGGCTGACAGCCCCAGCCCAGCCCAGGATGGAGCAGCACCACCCTGGAGCGGCCACGGCATCGATCCGGGGCTGCCAAAATCTGCTTTTCCGTCAAAAAGCACTCCAGAACTGCATACAAATAAAAAGAGGAGGGAGGAGAGAGATTGAGGGAGATTTGCAGCAGGGCATTGTCCCGGCTTTTCCTCAGGAATATCCCAAATTCTGACACCAAAAAGGGTCACAAACTGCTGCAGCAGGGCATTATCCCTGCTTTTCCTCAGAAATATCCCAAATTCTGACACCAGAATGTGAAACTGCTCCTCCAGTGCATTGTCCCTGCTTTTCCTCAGGAATATCCCAAATTCTGACACCAAAAAGGGTCACAAACTGTTCCTCTAGGGCATTATCCCTGCTTTTCCTCAGGAATATCCCAAATTCAGCCACCAGAATGTGAAACTGATGCACAAGGGCACTGACCCTGCTTTTCCTCAGGAATATCCCAAATTTAGACACCAGAAAGGGTTACAAACTGTTCCTCCAGGGCATTGTCCCGGCTTTTCCTCGGGAATATCCCAAATTCAGACACCAGAATGTGAAACTGATGCACCAGGGCATTGTCCCCACTTTTCCTCAGGAATATCCCAAATTCTGACACCAAAAAGGGTCACAAACTGCTCCTCTAGGGCATTATCCCTGCTTTTCCCCCTCTAAATGCTGGTGTCTCACAAAGGGAACAGGGATGTATTTTAGGGTGAAGGCAGAGATCCCTCCACATCTCCTCAGAGGACTGGGATTGTCCAGCCTGGAGAAAAGAAGCTCCAGGGTGACCAAACTGGGACCTTGCAGTGCCTGAAGGAACCAAAACCAGAGATGGAAAGGGACAATTCCCAAGGGATGGAGGGACAGGACACAGGGAATGGCTCCCACTGACACAGGGCAGGGCTGGGTGGGATATTGGGAATTAGGAATTGTTCCCTGGCAGGGTGGCAGGCCCTGGCACAGGGTGCCCAGAGCAGCTGGGGCTGCTCCTGGATCCCTGGAATGTCCAAGGCCACATGGACAGGAAACAATTCCCTGTGTCCTGTCCCTCCATCCCTTGGGAATTGTCCCTCTCCAGCTCTCCTGGAGCCCCTTCAGGCCCTGGAATGGCTCTGAGGATTCCCTGGATCCTTCCCTTCTCCGGGGGAACATTCCCAGGGCTCTGAGGATTCCCTGGATCCTTCCCTTCTCCGGGGGAACATTCCCAGGGCTCTGGGCTCTGACTGGATCCTTTCCTTCCCAGCTCTCTCCAGCCCTTGGAGCCTCCCTGGAATTGCTCCACATCCACGCCAAGTCTGCTTGAGAGGGCAGAAGATAAGAAAGACAAACCCAGTGGTGCCATTTGGGCTGGAAAACCCCCCCCAGATCAACAAATCCCAGCCCAGAAATCCCAAAGCTGCAGCCAGAGGAGTGCTGGGATGCAGGGAATGCCTGCATGTGCTGCATCCTTTTCCTCTGGAAATGTTTCACTTAAAAACTTCCAAAAATTGCAATTAACAGATGTGCAGGTCACACATGTTAGCAAGCAGCTTCCACAGATCCATGCACTGGACGTGTCTTAGGAGAATTAAAAAAAAAGAAAATACTTGGACATGGGGAAGAGGAAAAAAAACAGACTGTGGAAAAGAAAAAAAAAAAAATGGAAGCTGCAGGTTTTGGCTACAAAATCCATCCATGGAGCTGCAGCTTTTGCCTGGCACTCTCCTCCTTCAGCAACCCCAGGATTTGGGTAATCCCAAAGTGCTTCAGCTCAAGGGTGCCCCAGCCCCCAGGCAGGAAATAGGAAATAAAATAAGTAGGAAAAGTGAAATATCCACGTCAGGGAGTCAGGCTCCCAAGCAGGAAATAAAATAAGTAGGAAAAGTGAAATATCCACCTTAGGAAGTCAGGCTCCCAGCCTGACTGAGCAAGGACAAAATGACCCCGAGGGGAATGAAAAAATCCAGATATGGAGACACAAAAGGTGGGTCTGGAGCAGCAGCATTAGGGATGAGAGGGAAATTGGGAGGGATGAGAGGGAAATTGGAGGAGAATACCTGTGGGATAGCAAGGGGAAGACAGGGGAGAGAGAAAACCCAGGTGTGGATGGATAAAACCCACACCAAAATCAGGAAAAGGAGAAGGAATGAGCAGCCAGAGGAATGCTGGAAGCCCATCCCAGGATTTTCAAACCATCCTCATCATCAAAATGGGGATACTGTGAGCAACTTCCCACTCAGCGCTCCAGAGGGGAGAGGAGATGAAAGATTTTCCCTCTGAACCAGGTGAAAAGCTCAAAAAAACCTCAAAAACTCAAACTGCACAAGGAACTGCCAGGTACATAATGAGCAGATTTGAGGAAACAGCATCAGAGAGGGATGCTCATCACCCTGGGCAGGCCACACAAATTAGGAGGAGAGCAGAGCTGTGAATTACAATGAACAGAGACTAAATAGCTGCCTGTGTTGGATTAAAGGATTTAAATTGTCAGCTTGATGTATAATGAATGTGAAAAGCCAGCACTTAATTAAATGGCACATGATAGAATAACTTTGTTATGCTTTAAACTGCTTAAGTTATCAAAGTATTCCTTATATTTGGCAATTGTTTTGCAGTGTCTCCTTCCCTGGTGAGATCCACTGAGACATTGGTCATTACCCTTTGTTCAGCTGTGGGGAAAAGGTGGATTTTTGGAACTTTTTAGATTTTCTGTTGGTCTGCAATTTGAGTTTTCAATCATGGCCAGTGCATTTTTAGCAGCTGAAGGCTGCAGAACCCCAAGGATGAGCTACCAGGGGCTTTAAGGATCCCACTGTCAACACCTCGAGACCAAACCCAGGAGATCTGAGGGCTCTTCTGACAGCACAGCCTCAGCACCCCAAAAATGACCCCAATTAACCCTTCCCTGGGGCTGCTCAGGTGTGGAAGGGCTGAGAGACCAGCCCTGCCTTGTGCCAAGGGAAAAACTTCATCCTCCTCACCAGCCTTGAGCAGAACACAGAAATTCTGTTCTGCCTCTGCATTTTGGTGGCAGGAACCAACTCAACCCTCCAAGCCCTCAAGGAAAAAAAACATGGAGCAAGCAAAGAGAGAGGGAAAACCAACCCTGTGGACAGAAAAAGGACAGCCAGGATGGAAATCACACTCTCAGAGACAAAGGATCCCCAGCAGGGCTCCTGAGCCACCTCCTGAAGGCACCACAGAGAGCAGAAGGGCTTCAGGGGCTGATTAAAGGAAGATTTAATAAATCAAGGTGATGAGAAGCACTGCTCCATCCTGATGGGCAGAAATGCTGCCAGGAAGGGACGTGACCAAACAGATTTCCAGCAATTTCTTTTGTTTCTTTATCCCACTCAATTGACCACACCTTTCACAGGGATTTGTGCAACAGAATCCTGGAATGGTTTGGGTTGGGAGGGACCTTAAATCCCACCCAGTGCCACCCCTGCCATGGCAGGGACACCTCCCACTGCCCCAGGATGCTCCAAACCCCTTCCAGCCCGGCCTTGGGCACTGCCAGGGATCCAGGGGCAGCCCCAGCTGCTCTGGGAATTCCATCCCAGTCCTTCCTCACCCTCACAGGGAACAATTCCTTCCCAAAATCCATCTAAACTTCCACTTTTCCACTCTGCAGCCATTCCCTGTGTGCTGTTCCTCCATCCCAAGTCCCTCTCCAGCTCTCCTTGGAGCCTTCTCCTCTCCAGGCTGGACCATCCCAGCTCCCACCTTTCCCACCCCTCTCAGACCCCATGAAGCTCCAGAGGTTGTGTTGGTCATTCCCAAGGAAAGTTTTCCTTCATCCCAGAGCCCCTGAGCACCGGGGATGGTTGGGAGGAGCAGGAGAGAGGAAGGACCCTCCTCTCACAGGGATCCTGGAGCTGCCCCAGCCTCTCAGTGAACACCCAAATCCAGATTTTTCACCCCCACAGACAAAACCAGAGAGGCAAAAAGCAATAAATTACTCACAGCCACCGCTATCCTTCCAAGAACGTGTTCTGGAATTTTCCTGTAAACATCCAGAGACCCCCCTGCAGGGACAAACAGCACGTGCTCAGCTGGTGCCAGATCAAACACTGCCCCAGATTTAAAGCCCCAAGGGTTTTTTAGGTCTTGGTTATTAATAAAAACACCACCAGTGATAGAGCAGTACCCGTGGCAGAAATAACTGACCTTAAAAACCTCCCAAACTCTGCACAAACACACGGAACAGCACTCAGAGCTTCTCAGCACATCCCTGATTTGTGCTTGTGGCATTGATACTCAGGAAACATTGCAGGGACAAAATGTTAAAAACACCTCCAGTCATAAATATCAACATTAAAGAACTCCAAAACGTGGGGGGAAATGTCTTGGGGATAACAAAATCACCCCAAAAAGCTGCACCAGGGCATTGTCCCCGCTCTTCCTGAGGAATATCCCAAATTCAGCCCCCAGAAAGGGTCACAAACTGCTGCAGCAGGACACTGTCCCTGCTTTTCCTCAAGAATATCCCAAATTCAGACACAGCACAGGTCACAAACTGCTCCTCCAGGGCATTATCCCTGCTCTTCCTCAGGAATATCCCAAATTTAGACACCAGAAAGGGTTACAAACTGTTCCTCCAGGGCATTGTCTCTGCTTTTCCTCAGGAATATCCCAAATTCTGACACAGCAAAGGTCACAAACTGCTGCAGCAGGGCATTATCCCTGCTGTTCTTCATTAATATCCCAAATTTAGACAGCAGAAAGGGTCCCAAACCGCTCCTCTAGGGCATGGGCCCTTCTTTTCCTCAGGAATATCCCAAATTTAGACATCAGAGAGGGTCACAAACTGTTCCTCCAGGGCATTTTCCCTGCTTTTCCTGAAGAATATCCCAAATTTAGACATCAGAGAGGGTCACAAACTGTTCCTCCAGGGCATTTTCCCTGCTTTTCCTCAGGAATATCCCAAATTCCCCAGCAAATCACCTCTGCAGTGCCAGGCTGTGGGGTCAGGGATGCTTTTGGGGTGAGGATTCTCGTGGGGAGGAACAAGAGGAATCCAAGAGGAACTCGGCAGCGAGCTGGGAAACAGCTGGGCTGGAAAATAACTCCTTGCCTGGTAATTAAGAGCCCATTTCCACTGCAAACAGCCAGGACATTGGGTTAATAGATTTCTTGAAAGGAAAAGCTGTTTTGGCTATCAAAACACTACAAGTGAGGAACAGCTGTTTTGTCAGCGAGGACAGATTGCACGGGAGGCTCAAATATCAAACCACAAATTAAGGCTGCCTTTATTCCTCTTCTATTTACATTTTCCATAAAAGTAAGTGAAGTTCCACGCAGGGAAAATGCAGAATATCTCCCAACCCCAATTCCAGCCTGCTCTGGTTTCTTAACTACCTGCAATATTATTGATACTCCACATTTTTGAGTCTTACTGTTGCATTTCATTCTACCAAAAAAAAAAAAAAAAAAAATCCTTTCTCATTTAATTACTTAGCAATCAAAAGCAAACTGGATCCACTACTCACCATCCATGAACTCTGTGCACAATGAAATCCTGTTTTCTACAAAAAAAGCACCATAAAATCCTATGATATACGAGGAGTCACACTGGGAAAAGAGAGGAGACAAGCACGAGGCTGTTTTAAAAGCTGCTGTAAGAAGACTGAGGTGAAAATAATGTTATTTTTACCTCAGTCAGTATTTATTTTATAATGTTATCCAGTGTTAAAATCCACGTACCTTGTAAAGAATTTCTAACTCTGACATGATCTGCTTCTGGAGCTCCAGTGTTATGTCCAAGGGTATGACCTGAAACACAGAAATGCACAGAGCTCGTGTGAAAGGGAAGCGAATTATTCAAAATATAAACCCCGAAGATCCATGGAATAATGATCATTGTGGAGTAACAAGAAGGAGAGGAACAGGTGGAAGGAATATTTTAACAAGAAGGAAATTTTCTCACTATCCCAGCAGCACCAAAGCACCAGGGACTGCAGCCAAAGGGGGCTGCACTTCCTGGAATTGGGAATTCCCAGGATTTTTCAGGGCAGACCCTCTGAACAAGGCACTGAAAGCCCAACTGAACACTGAATTTCTTGCCACAATTCTTGAAAACTTATTAAGCTCTGCTTTACAAAGCAAACTGGACTCAGTGCTTGGAGCCAGGCTCAGCGTGCCTCCACCCAAGACTTATTTAATACTTTATTTAATACTTTATTTAATGCTTTATTTAATACTTGAAGCCAAAGGGAAGCAGAATTCAGCCAGTTTTCAGAATCAGCAGAATAAAACTCCAGGAATAGTGCTGACAGACCAGAGCAGAGCACGGGGAGCCCATTTCCAACCCAGCACCAAAATCTGGCTCCAGGAAAAACCAATAACCTGCCTCTTCCCAGAGCTGCTCCGGGGTTATTTATAAAAGCTGCCACTGGACTCAATTGTAAGTGGAGCACAGGGCTGCCAGGAAACATTTAACACACTTGTCCAGATCAATAATCATTTGCCAACAATATTCACTCACATTTTTTTCCCCAGTGTGAAAACCTCAGAAATTCACCCCACCGGCCGTGTTCTCTGAATTTCACCAAATTCCATCTCGTCAGTGGTGTCAAATCAGAATTTTACCTTGTTCACTTCTAATCCCAGAGAGGGATTCCTCTGACCCCAGGAGCAAAAACATCCAAAAATCTCCCTGACATCCCAAAACCAGGGCCAGAGTGAGGAAATTTGGGGTTCATTTGCATGAACCATAATTACAAACATCCCACTAATCAGGATAACCTGGGACAACAGAGTTTTTGCATTTCCAGGTGGTCGGGACACCAAGGGAAGGAATTACAAGATTATTTCCCCCCCCCCAAAAATTAATTAGGGGTGAATCACCTCCTCTGAAGAATTATTTTACATTTTTCTTCCAGTTGGAAATGTGTGGCTTGTGTGACCCCACCTGATGTCAAGGCTGGAGGAAATTTCTTTATTTACAGCACAAAAAGAGGGGAAAAAAATATTTATATCTCACCTTAACCTGCATTTATCATCACCTTTTTTATATGAAATTTCCAAGCCTATTTTGTAGGGGTAAAAACACTTCCAGGAGGATTCATGAGGTGACATTTTCCAGCGTGGGCTGGAACTGTGTTAAAGCAAAAAAAACCCCAAAAAACAAAACAAAACAAAACAAAACAAAACAAAACAAACAAAAAAAATCAACCAAAAAAAAAACCCAAAAAAAAAACCAAACAAAAAAAAAAAACCCAAAAAAAACCCAAAACAAACCCCAGAAAAACCCAAACCAACAAACAAAAAAAACCCAAAAAAACCCCCAAAACCCAAAATATCTCCTCAGAGTCATTGCTGCTGAGGATGAGGCTGGGAATGAAGGTTGGGATGCAAATTCCTGGAATTCTGGAATGCTTTGGGTGGGAAAGGCTCTTAAAGGGATTTCATTCCATCCCTGTCCAGCCTGGCCTTGGGCACTGCAGGGATTAATAATAATAATAATAATAATAATAATAATAATAATAATAATAATAATAATAATAATAATAATAATAATAATAATAGGAGGAAAGCAAGGGCAGGGGAAAAAAAAAAAAAGGAAAAATAAAATATCTGGAATTTCTTACCTTCACTGCCAGGATTTTTCCACTACGGACATGGTAAGCCCTGGGTGAGGAAAAAAATTCAATAATTTGAGATTATATAAAATTCCCTCTGTGAGGATGTGCGATATAAATACCCTCCTTTCACAGAAAAATGAATTTTACCTCATGGATTTTATGTCAATTCAGTTTTATCCAGCATTTCTAAAGGAAAACAAGGGATCAAAAATAAAAAAAACCCTTTTGTCAGGGCTTGTATCTTTATTTTTGATATCAAAAACACACATTGAAGGCTTTGATACAGCAGAAAAATAAACTATAAATGGGAATTTAACAGAATCTTTTAGGTTGACTCTCAAAAATTAAGCCCAACTTTAAATCTTTTGAGTCCAACCTTGAATTTATCAATTTTCCCATTTTCTTTCAATGGAATTAATGAAGGTCATCACCGTTATTCAGAATTTTTATGAGAAATCAGGATTATTTCAATCCCATGGCTATTTCCAGAGACAAGCAGCTTCACCAAATAAATGGAATTAAAACAGATTATAGCCAATTCTTCCTCAGAACTGAAGGACCCACAGAAAACCTCGGCAAAATTCAATTTCTGCATTTATTTGATGATCAGAGGGTGCATATAAATACAGAAAGAATTATTGCTGATGCTCACAGCTACCCAAAATAATTTTCAAAAGGGAGTTTCAACAGCAGTTTGTCTGAATTTCTGAGGAGAAATACCCAGAATTGGCCATTTAACAATGACCTGAATATTTCTAACCAGGAAAACATGAGAAAATGAAGTTAAAAAAAAAAAACCAACTCAAAATCCAATGTAATTTTGCATAAAAACAAAACCATTAAAGGTTTTCCTCTTCACTGGTTTTACTGCCGCACTCTGATTTATGGCAGCATTGGCAGAGACGTGGCACTAACTTTAAAGAATTCCAATATTTTACCTCTCTGTACCTCCAGCAATTATTACTGAAGAAGAAAAGCTTTAATAGTTGGGGTTTTGGTGTGTAAAATCACCCTCAGACAGGGCAAAAAATGTCATTTAATCTTATTTATAACCCCCCTAATTTCTGGTAATGGCTTGGAAATTGCTAAAAACTTTGCCTTAATTTAATAACTCCTGGATGAACGTTTATGCAATGGAGTGGCATTTTTATGTGGAAAAAAAAAACAGTTTAACAAGGCAGAGGGGGAAAAAATCAGTGTAAAAAATGAGATTATCCATGGGAACTTTGATAGAACTGAATCCATGAATCCACAAATCCACGAGCTCTGGGACTGAACCAACAGTGGGAAAACATCCTGGATTTAACATGATTTCTCAGATTTTAGGGGAGAAAAAAAGAATTTAGTAAAGAAGAGGGGGAAAAAATCAGTGCAAAAAAATGGGATTATCCATGGGAACTTTGACAGAACAGGAGCTGAATCCATGAATCCACAAATCCACGAGCTCTGGGGATCAACCAACAGAGGGAAAACATCCTGGATTTAAGATGATTTCCCAGATTTTAGGGGATAAAAACCCCAAGTTTAACAAGGCAGAGGGGGAAAATCAATGTAGAAAATGAGATTATCCATGGCAACTTTGTCAGAACAGGAGCTGAATCCATGAATCCAACAGTGGGAAAACTCCCTGGGTTTAGGATGAGCAGGAATAAGGGCTGGAGAGGTTGGGAAGGGATGCTCCACGTCTGCTGGGTTCATTGGGACCGCTCTGCACAGCTTGATCAGCTGCTGAGGAAAGCTGATCCTTTTTCCATGGGAGAGCTCTCCCATTTCAGAGCAAATGGAAGGGCAGAGCTGATGATTTAATTATGATGCACGCTAATTCATCCGTGGAAGGCTGGGCTCAGGTTCCAGCACGGGGCAGGGACCTGGTTTGGTTTTCAGGGCACTGCCAGCACCAATTGAACATTTAATTATGGCTGGGAGCTGGATCACAAAGAGCCTGGGCTGGGGGATGCCAGCAGGGCAGGAATTTGTTTACTCCAGGCTGATCCAGCATCTCAGTTGTCCTGCCCTTCCCCTGCACAATAACTGTAAAGTGATTAATGGAGCTGGAACGGGAGCTTTGGTTACACCAAAAGACAACCCTACACCTCTGTGGTGTTTTAATTAACAGCCAACGCTTCAAATTAGGCTGGGGCTGCTGCAGTAATTACCCCTTCTGAGGAAAAAGGGATTTTCTGGGATGTTCTGTGGAACTGGAAGGTGGAATTGATCGTTTTGGTTGCGGTCAGCACTGCGAAATCCTGAATTTAATACCTTTATGCAAATTCTGAGGGATGAACCACAAAAATCCTGTAGGACAATGTGCCCAGCACAAGGAAAACCAAACTTTTAGTCAATCCCTGGATGTCTGTGAGGGGATAAAACCCAAATTCCCACTCAAAGGCTCATCTCCAGGGTCACCTCCCAGATTTTGGTGTCACCTCTGCAAGTGAAGCAGCCAAACCCAACACTGCAGAACCAGGCAGAGAAAAACAGCAAAACCCCAAAGGTTCCCTCAGCAACTGGGCACATTGCAGGGAAACTCACTTAAAATCTTCCAGGATGGCAGAAAAACTCCTAAAAACCAGCTGAAACCAGCTGCTCCACTCCTAAAAAACCTTAAAGCCAGGGATGGGTTTGAGCAGCGCCCTGCAGGGGATGCTCAACACCAAGCTGGGTTTTGGGGGATCTCCCTCACAGAATCCTGGAAGAGTTTGGGTGGGAAAGGACCTTAAATCCCATCCCATTCCATCTTTTCCACGAGTAGGGACAATTCCCACATCCCAGGGATCATGTCTGTGGGAATCCAGGGCTTCCCTCTGGCTGCCCTGGCAGGGCTGGGACCCTGGCAGGGGTCAGAACCCCCCTGGACAGAGCCCCCAGAGACACTGGCTGTGATCTCTGGCCATGGAAAAGAGTTTTCAATCTTACAGGATCAATTACCAGCTCTGAGTGTTTGATATAAGGAATAATTAAGTGTGGCACAGGTGCAAAAGTAAAATTTTAGGATTCTAGATTAGGGGTGCAAAGGGGACAAGATGGAGGAAATTGGGTGTGCCTTGTCCTTTTCCTCCTTCTTCATGCCCTCCATGTTTCACTGTGGTGTTGGCATTTTTCTGTTGGTTCAGGCTGGGGACACACTGTCCAACGTAGGTGACAGATATTGGCACGTTATTGTAAATCCAGCACAGGTAGTTTGTGGTATTTAATGTTTGTACCATCCCACTGAGGGCAAGCAAAGAACCAACTACAGCTTGCAACCTGCAGGCAATTCAAGGGAAGCACCAATTTTCTTTTTTTTCCCAATTTTTAAATTGCAAACCCCTTGCCCACATGTGAGCGACACAACAATGGTCACATCACGAGCAGGGGCTGAGTTGTCAAACATCTGTGAGCTTTTTCCAGCAGCTTTTCCTACCAAACACAGCAACTTCTCACTACAAACCGAGTTTAGCCTTATGTTATATCTCAAAATAAATGTAATCTCTACCTAGAAGCCAAAATTCACGTTTATTTTGTTGTGACAAGAACGATACTGCAGGAGCACAGGTGGCCATCAGCATAAACCCCTTTCTCTTCCCGCCCAATAACCAGGGAAACAATTTCTAATCAATAAAGATATTCCTTGGCAAGCCTGGAGGATTCAAGGGAAAGCCATGACCTGTCTGCTGTGCCAATGAGTCAGTCAGAAATATCACCAACATCAGCAGATATGACACAGTGATGAAGTGCCAGGCAGGCAGCAGGGACGGGGCTGCAGCAGCAGGGATGTGACACCCCAGGCTGGTGCCACCAGGGCTGCAGGGACACGACACAGGGAATGGCTTCCCACTGCTCTGGCAGGCACATTCTTCCCTCTCTTTAGGATTTTTTTTATACAGGAGCACGGAGAGAAGAAAGAGAAAACAATTTCTATTTCTGCTCCTTGTTTTTCCCATGTGGAATGTGTTTGGAGAATTGTTTACCTGGGGTGTTGCTTGGTTGGATTCTGGTGAGGATTGTTTGAGCCTGATGGACAATCCAACCCACCTGGGGCTGGGCTCTCAGAGAGGGTCACAAGTTGTAAGTTAAACATAGTACTTAAAAAAAGTATGTTTGTAGTTTTACTATCCCCTTTAAATAATATATTAATATATTATAGTATAGTTACAATAAAGAAATCATTCAGCCTTCTGAACCGAGTCAGACATCAGCATTTCTCCCCACCAGGTTCACCTACCCTGCCACAGGGATGGCATTTTGGGGAAAAATTCTTCCCCAGGATGGAGATCCTGCCCCTCCTGTGCCCTGCAGCACTCCAGCTCCTCTTTTTTTGCCACCTGACCTTCCCAGCCTGTTGTTTTGATTTTTTCGAAGTGTTCAGTTTCTTTTTATAGTTTTCTTGAAAGTTTTGAAGTTCTTATAAGATTTTTTAAATTTCTGGAAAATGTTTACATGTTTGAGAGTCAGAGCTCCCACACAATTTCATGTCTAAATAAAATAGTTGACATATTTCTCTGTGAGTAGAGAGAAATGATTGATTGATCTTTGGACCAGTGTGGTTGGAGAGGCAGTAATTCCATCCTCCAATCCACAGTCACCTTTGGAATTCTATAAATACCAGATATTTGAATAAAACTAAGTCTTTCTCTCTTTTAAACTTACCAAGCTTCTGTGTGCTCATTTCGTGCCCAGCAACAAACACCAGGCCACAGAGCAAAACCAGATGTGAATATTTTGGTTCCTCCCCCTGCCTCGTTTCCTTCACACCTCGGGATGAAATCATCACCCACGTTTGTTACCAACAGCAAGGCACCATTTTCCTCAAAAAGGGTGGGAAATCTTCTCCCATTTTCCATTCCTCCCTCTCAGCACTGAGGAGCTGCAGGGGAAGCTCTGCACACCCACACACCAAAGCTCTCTCGGGGCCAGGGCAGAGGGTTTCCAAACAGAATTAACATTTCCAAACAGAATAAATATTTCTGTTTCCAAACAGAAACAAAACCTTGAAGCTTCCAAAGAAGCCGCTGCAGGTTCTTGAAGCAGCACCTCCAGACGTGAGGGCACAGGAGGAGCCAAACT